AATTCTAAATCAATCTAATGTCTCTCAATGAACGGTCAGTTTATATGGAGACCTCAATAAATTCTGTAAAATTAGTGCAATTAAGTTGTTCAATTTCATTTCCACTACTCAACAAAGCTATTGCAACTCGTGAGCAATTTTTCTCAATATATTTATCAGAATGGAAAAGTAAAGTAATAAATATTACACTCTTACTATTAAAAGCAATAATATTTGAGTTTTACTTCAGATCATTGAATTTTTCATTGTTTAATAATAATTTAAAAAAATTATAATTTTCTCTTCATAAGCCAGCAACAAAAATATACTTTCAATTTTGCCACTGAAAAATCATTTACTACATTTACTACCTTACACAACACTCACCTCAACAGTTTCACGAATGATGTATGCAATTTGTTCTTCAGTGAGTCTTTCACCTCTACGTTTAAGGCCTTGAACAAGATCAGTCACTGAACCTCCTGTACACAGCTGCAAATGAAAACAATCACCTCCTATATCCACACAGTCACTACATTTTCATAGGTCACTTCATCACTGTAGATCTAAGATTGTAAACTATGCACTGCACTGACTACGAACACTACTCCACGACTACTCCAGCCCACAGCTACTCCAGCACTGAGTGAGGTGAATCAATGGTACTGTTAGAAGAAGAGTTTGCATTGAAAATGTGTTACAGCTGGTGTAACAGGTTCAGGAGAAAGGTGAATAGCAAGATCAAGGCCAACAAAACAGGTTTTGGCCTTCCCCCAAGAAAAAATGTAATAAGGAAGCCATTCAAACATTTATTGAAAGCAGTTAACCTGCTTTCATTCTAATTACTGTAAAAAGAAATCTATAATAAGGATTTTTTTATTCACACATTATTTATAAAGTTTCAATAATATTTCTTTCTTCTTTGGCATGTTCAAATAGAAATAGAATCTGCCAAAACTCGTAATGTAGTTCATTATATTAAAAATTTCCCTTTTCAACACATATATTATTCATTCAAAGAATTATCTTTTGTAACTGAATATTATGATGGTAAATGAATATTATTCTAGAAAGAAAAATACCATGTTGTGTTAATAAAAAATTGTCAGCAGGAAATAGAATTTCAGGTACCCTAAGAATTGAATGACAATTTAATGCTTATCAATTCTTGCATAGACACATCCTAAACACAGTCTTTTAGAACTGAATATTTAAGTTAATATTTTTGACATTTGCTTTTACTTAATTTTTTTCGTGCTCACCTCCATAACAAACCACAACTGGTCCTCCTCCGGAACATGGCCTCGTTTCAGGTAAAGTCCATGAAATGAGGGAATATTTGGATGAAGACTCAGATCTCTCAGAATCAAGTACTCTTCTTCAATTTCTTCAATATTATCAGCAACATTTTCCAAAATTTTCACTGCTACACGCTTCCCTGTAATATTAAGTCATCAAGAATTTCAGATATGGAAAAATGTAAGTACTATTGTAGTCATATATTCCATCTTTGAATAGTCTACAACCTAGGTAAAATTGAATTTAAAAAATACATTTGGTGCATTACACTATTTTCTCCAATACTTTGGATAAAAATAATTTTAACTGAAGTATAATTTCATATGTCACGGCTCAATATCAAGTGTAATAATAATTATCTGCCCCAGAATAATACTTGATTGGCTCAAAGGTGTGAGGCGTTTTGTTAAAAAAAAAATTAAGGCACTTCATCTATGATGCCTTCTGAACCATATTGTTAAATGCTTATAATTTTTATTTCTTTTAAATCCTTACTGTATCTGCATGCTTAACCTTGAAACATTTGTAACTGTCATGTCCTACTACTTCAGAAAATGTGAAACAAGTCAAACGCAAACGATGTTCGTTCGCCAAGGCGTTTCGAGTGGGAACGAGTGCAAGGAAACTCGCGATTAGCGAGTTGCACTTCCACATGGAAAGCAACAGTGAGTGAAATTCGGGCCACTGCGTCGCCGCCGCCACCGGAAGTATTGGGGCCAGCGCACCTCGGTCACCCGCAGGGAGGGCGGGGTGCGAGAGAGTCCGGACTGTCGTCAGGGTACGTCGAGAACACACTCAGTTTTTTTATTGTTGTTTTTCGGCGGTAGGGGGTAGGAAGGAGGGAAGGATGGGTCCGTTTCAGTTAGCACCCCTCATAAATATGTTTGAAACAGTATTTTTTTAAAATTGTTTTATTACAATTTTAAAAAGTACACACGTAAAACGGATTCTCCTCTTGAAAAGTGATGCATCAACAAGTTTTGCATAAATCGAGTTTTCATCGGCATTTCCGGCCACGTCAACTGCTATGTCCCGTAAGTGTAGGGCAAGATATATTTGTGCAAGGCAGTGCTTTTGCCTCCTCCGCTAGAGACGCTGCAGAGATAACGAGTCAACCGAAATTGAAGATTTGCCCTCATAGCTTCCAGGGACCCTGAAAAAGCTTGCACAACCCATGGCAACTTTGGATAGTTAACTTCCCTCCGGAAAAAAAGAATAAACAGACTTACGGAGGATCCCTATACAACAGTTCTGAACACTTTTGCTAATTATAGTCTCCCCATCCAAAATGGCAGGAAAAAATTTCCGATGACTATTTTTCCAATACACATTTACCAAGACTATTATCTCAGGCCAGTTTATTCCAATATTTTTACATGTGTTCTTTTTTCTAAAAGTTAGTGTTTTGACAAACGATTTTTCTTAACGTTTTTTGGTTTTCATTAATGCACCTGATTTTCAATAGTCAGATAATAATCGTACTAACTTATTGCTAAGTTTTCGAAGTTACCCAAAATTACCCTTTAGGGAAACGGAGAGCGAGGTGCAATCGTAGACTTACACCGCCAGTGTCGTGTGAAGGCTCTCGACTATCCAGATGGCACCGCGTCGAGGGCAGCAATGCCGACGTTTCGACCATCATATCGTGGTCTTCTTCGGGGCAGGAGTTTTCCAGGACGGTGGGCGCTCGGGCTTTAATACTGGCGCACTCCTGCCCTTAAGAAGACCACGATATGATGGTCGAAACGTCGGCCTCACTGCCGTCGACGCGGTGCCACGTGGGCAGCCGAGAGCCTTCACAGAGAGCGAGGTGTTTTGCCAGTGTTAATGCAGCGCCGTACGAAGAGAGGAAACACTTAAAATGCCGGTCAGTCAGGACAGGTCACTTGGCGAAAGAAATCGTGGGGAGACAATCACTTCATAGACAATATTCGTATATAAAAGGATTAGTAAAGACACAGATCAACGGAGATGAGACTTAAAAGAGAAAGAAGGCACCACTTGCGAACACATGCGCATCGCTACTTCCCTTGAACAACTAATCAATTCTACACGGCTCATAGTTCACTAATCGACTCACACTCCTCGAATGCAGATACATCTGACTTCTACTCTATAAAACCCAAAAACAACAATACTATTTACACTTTACATTATTTCACAACTTTTTTTTAGCACTTTCCCGAACTTTTTACATCTGGATAGAAAATGGAGAAAGAAGAAAATGTTATAAAAAAACAAAAACAAGAAACCATTAGTGTGCTTTCGGGTTATTTCGAACCGAGCTACATTACATTACCGTATTAAGACAGACAGAGAGAGACTAGAGACAGACAGAGAGACAGAGAAACAGACAGACAGAGAGAGAGAGGCAGACAGAGAGAGACAGAGAGAGAGACAGAGAGAGAGACACACACACAAACACACAGAGACACACACACAGACTCACAGAGACACACACACAGACTCACAGAGACACACACACAGACTCACAGAGACAACAACACACAACCAACAGAGAGAAGAAGAGAGAACAGAGAGGGGAGAGACAGAGGGAGAGCGGGAGAGGAGAGAGAGGGGAGAGAGGAGAGAGAGAGGAGAGAGAGAGAGAGAGAGAGGGGAAGAGAGGAGAAGAGGGGGAGAGAGGAGAGAGAGGGGAGAGAGAGGAGAGAGGAGGAGAGAGAGAGGGGAGAGAGAGGGCGAGAGAGAGAGGAGAGAGAGGAGAGAGAGAGAGGAGAGAGAGGAGAGAGAGAGAGGAGGAGAGAGAGAGGAGAGAGAGAGAGGAGAGAGAGGAGAAGAGAGGAGGAGAGAGAAGAGAGGAGAGAGAGAGGAGAGAGAGGAAGGAGAGAGAGAGATGGAGAGAGAGACGACGAATGAGAGAGAGAAGAGACGGAACCCACACTCGCGAGAAAGTCTTGTGTTATTAAAATTTTTGCAGAGCGTAAAGCGCAAAACGTGATTAACAACCACGTGACCAGTAGCACGTGAAGTTGAATACATGTGAAGCATTGCCGGGTCCACTCGTTCCCAAACACCAAGTGCAAGGGGCGCGGGAGAGAAGGAAGGCTCGCGAGCCGCTCACCCTTGCCCGAGGAGACCTCGCGCGCGCTGAACACCTCGCCGTAGGTGCCCTCGCCGATCAGCTCCTGCAGCGTGAAGCGCGCGCTGGGGTCGGGCAGCTGCTCGAAGCGCACGTGCTGACTCAGCCCCTGGTACGTCATGGCTGCCGCCTCCGCCGCGCGGTTCCTAAGCACACACATCAAGCGTTGCAATATATAATAACAACAACATTTTATATATTTAGACAAGAATTGGACATACATATACATATTTAAACAATATTTGCTACAAAACGTTCGAGAAATAGTCATAAAACCACGAGAAGATCGCTAATGATATAATACATCGGACTGAGAATTAGCCGCCCGCTCTAGTAGACTCAACTGGCCGCAGCGGTTCGTATCCTTTTACACGGCGATAAGCGCCCCTTGTAGTCAGCGCTAGGTTCGGATAAACACATAAATTCGAATTTGATGTTGTAGAAAGGCTGACCCAGCTCTCCGTAATTAAATTTGATAACTTAAGTTACCGAAAGATACAAGGCTTCCATCAATCACTTTATAGTGTCTAGTTATGAAGCTTGCAAGTGCCTCTGTGGAAGTTAGCGTGAAAGGTATTTGAAAATAAAAAGAATGGTCAAAAAAAGATGCCAGTAGACCCACCTTTAGACGATAAAAAAATAATTAAAAGATGCCGGTAAAAATGTTTGAATTTCTGATGGATTTTGTTATTTAAGCACCCTTCCAAAATAAGCTAAAACTCACGAAAAATGAGAATATATTGATACATTTTTATATGGATCGCAACCTAATTAATTTTACTATCACCCCACCTCAAAGAAACTCAATTTTCAGGAACCACGAGTCCAAGAATTCTATAGCAATTTCAATTTCAATGAAGGCTTAAGGTGTTCCGCCAATTTATTGAAATGAACGCGTAGAAATAATACCAGAAAAAATAGTGTTGTTCGAGTGTTTAAAAGATAGAACATTGAAAAGTACTTCGAATATCCCATATCGTAATAGCTTCGGAAAGATAAGCCCGTACATCCGACACATTATTCGACGACTGTGAAAACGCGCGCCTCTCCACTGGCACAATACACTGACAAAGAAATCCATGGTGATCGTATGAAAGCAGCAAACAAGTGGATTCTGTTAGACTGTAGTTAACTCCGCAGCCCCACCCGCCGTACATTTTGAAGCACTGAGTTTTCATATTGATTATGACATCGATATAATTTACCTACTCGTATGATATTATAAAATATCATACGAGTTAGTACTCGTATGATATTTTATCCAAAGGTATGAAAATGGGTCAGCACATTTCAACTCTATATATTTGTCACCAATACGTACCTAATTCTCATGATTGGACGTTATAATACAACATTCACTGTGGCGGGAGGTATTTCGGTAGGTTGTTGCGAGAAACAAAATTGTACTTTGCATATCTGTTTGACGTCTCTAATGGACGCGCATTGAGTTGACAAGTAACGCCAGTCCATGCTGCTACACAGAACTACATTACGCAGGATCTAACACACTTGTTCATGAAAGACCATGGTATCGATCAATAACTCACATCTTATCTTCTTCGTTGGCGCATGGAGTAGGAGAGAGGAGACTGAATTAGACTTCTGTTGACCGTCTGTGTCCAAGTTTAGTACGGCAACACCGATCAGTTACGTTTCTGCGCTTTTGATATCTTAATTATCTTTACTACCTTAATATTTCGTGACGCAATATTTTATCAGGCATGAGGCGCACATGAGGCTATCTCCATCACCTAAGTTACCCGGCTAATCTATCGCAGGTTTAGGAAGCGGTGATAACTTCGCACGTGAACTACTTCTGACACAAAAGATGATCTCTTGACCCCCTGTACTTTCGTCAAAAAGGGCAGTGTATACTGTGCTTGGTCTATAACTCCAAGCTATTGCCAAAAAAGATTATTTAGATTGATAGAAAATAAATCTGCTAATAGAGATAGAGTACGAGAGATTAAGAGTACATACATTTTTTCGCACATTTAGTCACAAGAGATATAATAAGTAATTTGTCGCAAATTATGGTGTATAGCAAATTCATTGTTAGCAGTCGTGCTCTGTGGTTCGAATCTATGATATGCATACGTGAGTTTATGTAAATGCATATAAATATAACATACATACAATAACATAAATATCCACATACTTATATAAAATTGCTAACCATACGATCCGATGGGCTAATAGCGGAAGTCAATTTGCAAGTCTAAGTTTAAAATAACCTACGATTCACAACTTAAACATTTTCGTTCTGAAAACATAATATCACGTGGCCTCATTGCTCTTCAAATATTGTAGCGATTTCTGGAAACATCTGAAAAGTAAATCATTTAGCATTTTCAAATAATACAGATGCCGAGAACAAAATATTAAGAGTTCAAAAATATTGAACATTTTACAAACGGTCTAACAAAGACTGGTGAGTTTTACTCAGTGGTGCATCCAGGTATTCAGACGCCCATGGCGAGCATAAAATATGCGCCCTTGTCAAGGCGCTTCATATAAGGGTGGTGGTGGTGGTGGTTTGGTTCAGCGGGTATACTCTAAATAGGGCCCATTGTAAGTGGCTCCCATGGCACGTGCCGTTATTCTGTACGGTATATCCGCATGCGGTTTTAATTACGGGCTTTCGTAGAAAACGTACTCCGAAACTTGACATTACGTCAACTGTTATTCCTAATGACAACAACTCTTAAGAAGCGGATCTCAAAAAA